AGACTTTTTAAATTCTAATTTAGAGAAATTTTTTATTTTAAACAATAAAAAATGGTATAATGATTGTTTTTTGTAGTTTAAATAAAATCATGGGTTCCTAAACCTTTATGCATTTTTTGCAGAGTGAGGAACTAAAATAACCGATTTTTAGAGATAAACAATAAAATAAAAAAAAATTAATAAAAATTAATTATTATCTATTATAATGAAGTAAATGACTTACCATTTATTTTTTTTTTAAATCATGTCCTCAAGATGATGTCCATCACCCATCTCTTCTCGAGTCTACTTCGTATGTTTTCCACTAGACGGTGTACCACTTCGAAAGGTGGTACATTTTCAAGTGAACAAATGATTTTTTTTCGTACAGGTTTCTTTCAGGAACACATTTTTGCGAAGTTAGTAATCCATATTTTAACAGCCTAAGCAGATGGTACCGAATTATAGCGTTTAATATTAAAGTGAAGTCAAAATGAACGAAGTGCAGCTACGTAATTTTCATTATTTTTGTAAAACAAGTTTATTGAACGAGCACGTTGTTCATCACTCCACTGATCCATGAATACTAAATAGTAAATGGCACGCGTTGTTTTAAAGTTAATAATATTTAGCGATAATTCTTATCTTAATTATTACTGGGAAAATCTATTTTTAAAATCCACCATTCGAGTATTCCACCCTGTGTTATTATGAATTTTATTGAACGCAATAACATTTTTTATTTATTTTAAAATATTATTTATCTTTACTTTATAGGTATTTCTATGAATTTAAATAAAACTGATAAATTTTATCTTCACGGAAATATTTGTGATTGATATAATATGGTATAAATATTAAATATATATTATTATAATAATTTTATATTCTTACTAGAACCAGTGAAACTTGCTGTAAGTGAATACCCTAGGGTAGGATTTAAGACTTGAGAAAAACCTCAGGGGGTCATTTGGAATAAAGCATAATTATAAATAGGTACCATGATTGAGCAATAAAATAGGTACAAGTATATAATTATTATTACATTTGTTAGACATATTTATGTTTTAAGCAAACAATTTGTTTAAAGTTATAAGGGTTAGATTATAATAAGTTATAATTTTTTTTTTTACATTTAAAATGATTTTGATTAAATATAAATGATAAACATTTTCTAATATATAGATTTTTTTCTACGGAGAATAAAACATCTAAGCTAACATAATTTTATTGCATAGGTATTTGAGTAAAATTTAATATAAGTTCTACATTTTATTGATAGTTACAATACCTATAGGTATTGTAACTATCAATAAAATATATGTTTAATATTTTATAAATATAAAATAAAATAATTTTAACTTAACTCAGTTATACAATTACAAATTTAAAACTCCTTATCATGAAATTTCAATTTTTTCATAATAAACACAACTTTAAATATTCAATATAATTTTAAAGTATTTTCATGAATTAACAAATTATTGACAAATAAAAATTGTTGATGCATAAAATGTTCATATTCTATAATTGTTTGCATTGAAACCGGGCCCCTAGTCACAAAAACATCCTTTATTTTATTTTATATTATTAGGAACCACTATAAAATATTGATATCATTTTAAAGTCCAGAATTATGAAAAATCTATTCTAAATTTTACGACACAGATTAATCAAAACTTTTGTTTTGCAATTATACAAAATATGAGTAATAATAAACATCTATTCAAAAAATAAGAACAAATCCTCCATTAACCCCAGGTCCTTAGACTTATAACAACAATAACATTTAAAAATGGCATTAATAATATATTTATTTATTAGTAATAAGAATAACTAATTAATATTTAGCAATAAATAGGCAACAACATCAACAATATTTTACTAAATGAATGTCAATATTTAGCACGTTTCTAAGTAATACAATATTATTTTAAAAATATACTTTTTTAAATATTTTATGTTAAAATTGAACATATCGTATCAAAAAATGCTTATTTCTAGTTTTTCTAATTATTTTTGCTTTTTTGACAAATTTTTCAACTTTTATGGTTTTTTCTTGCAATGATATTTATGATGGAATAAACAATACTATAATAAAGCAAAATGTTTTGAAAGTGAAGTTTGATTTTTTTATAACAAAGATTTATTTATTTTTTGATTTTTGAGTTAGAAAGTTTTCTTAATCATTTTTTTTGATAATTTTTTGTAATCTTTAATTAAATTATTTTTAGCACAATCAAAAATTACGTCTTGTGTCTACTTTATTATGTAAAAAGAAAGTTTTTTTTCTATTAAATACTTTTTTTGCTTAAATTTAAGCTTCTTATTACTTATTTGAGTGCTTATAATGATGTTTTTAAGCACTTATTTTTATGATTTTAAATGCTATAAGCCCTGAGCCCCGATTATAACAGTTATTTTATAATTTATTGATTAAATAAATTGCTCAAAGTTTCCTTCATTATTTTCTACGCATAATTGAAATCGTTGTAGACATCCTCTATTGATTGTTGTCATTATTTGATTTTCAGTAGGGCCATTACACGCAAACATGATGTTATTTTTTAAATTTTTTTAATTTAAATACTTTAATTTGTAGTAACCACTAGTACTATCTACAACCGTGGTCTAGGCTTACCTAGTTTTAATTATTATAATTTTGAACTTTTTGAATGGTTTATTGTTATTAGTTTTTATTATTTGTTTATGTACAAGTAAGTAATATGTATGTGAATTGTAGGTACTCTTATATGACTTTTTTCTTTTGAAATACTGACAATACTAGATTAAATACTATATCCTATAAAATAATGAAAGATATTATTGTCTTTATCTCTAAAATAACATACCTAAAATATGAGCTGAAAGAGTTTTAATATACAAGATAATTATAATAGATATGAATAAATATTATATTTAAAATATATTACAACAGTATTATTACTAATTAGTAATTACCATCTGTATATATTAATAATTAATAATTTTATTTATATTTTAATAAGTGTTCAAAATTTTAACTATTTTCGACTAAACAAAAAGACAGACGGCACTCCATTAATTCAGTTGATGTAGCTATTTTTACGATTGAAATTTGAAGAATTAATATCTCTACAGTATTATTTTGTTATTGTTTTGAGCTCTTCTATATTATTTGATTCTACTTTGTAAACTTAATTTTTTAGAAAGCCCCCCCCACAAAAAAAAAAAAAAAATCAAGAACTTTCAAATTAGGAAAACGTGTTGGCCTTTTAATTTTGGGGTTATGAGTTTTAATTTCCAAACTAGTTGTCTTTATACATTGATACATTTGACTTAAAAATTTACGTTGTACGTACGACTAATGTATTATTTGCAGCCTACAGGTATACCATCTTGCTGCCAAATTAAGTCAAAGGGAATGTTTTTCATCAAAAAATGATAAACTTATAAGAATATTGCCTTGACAATAATTAAAAATGACCTAACAAAATACTGTAAACATCTAATAAGCGTAATATACAAAAATCTACGGTTTTTAATTTAATAATTTTTTGTTTTGGTAAATGTTATCGGAAAAATATTGTAATTTGGTGTAATAATAGATGGTGAATATCCATTTGCACGTATAATAACTATTTCTTCCCAAACGATTTTTATTCTTTATTGTAATTAAAAAAAAATATCTGTAGATGCTTGAAATTTTCACAAAAAGTGTAAATTATAGTTTAAAATTTATGGTATACTTTTCAAAATATTATGACTCTTTTTGAGTTATTTATAGGTTAGGTTAGGTTAAAAAATAAATAAAAAACTTAAAATATAATTAAATAATTAAATAAATACACAATTTATTGTACATTGTGATTGTCATAAAAAAAAATTACTCAATATGTAACTCGTTTAACAATTTAAATTTTATTAATAAACGAATTTGATCTTTTTAGTTCTAGTGTACTTACAGGAATATGAAATTGGAAATTTATACGTCTTACCTTTGTAAAAGGGTTTTGTTTTCACCAGCGGTTTCTTAATCCTAGGCTTTATATAAACTCAGTAAATCGCTATTTCAAACTAACTTTTTGTTTTAAACTATAGGCGTTCCAATATAAATTTATTTCAAACTAGGAAAATATTTAACGTATTGTGTAGTAAAAAACCAATTAAAAGTGCAATTTGTAATAAATGAGCAATATGTACTTAATAAATATAGTTAAATAGTTAAAACAATGGTCGATGGCTAATGGGCCTTAGAAAAAAAGCTAGTACCTACCATTGATTATAGAATATACTATAATTATAGTACCTATATTATAATTATTTTTTACTATAATTATATTCTATAATCAATGTACCTACCTACCCATAAATAGGTTGTAGAACAATTAGTGGTTGGAATAAATAAGCGTCAAAACAAAAGTCTGACGCATATTTTGGATATTAGAACAAATTAACTTTGGTGCAAATACCTATCTGTGGGACAAAAAGTAGTTTCGCTGTTATTGATATTAATGCACAAAACCCATAGATAAGTGAGTATTTACTATTTACTAACTTATTGGCCATTGCCAGTTACGACTGGGACACGATTATTGGCCAGTGTCCACTCTCATCAGTTAATAACATTCAATTCAATTTTTTATTTTTCATCTAATGTTCAATCATTATTGTCCAAGCTTTAAGAGTTTTCCACCTTGTTATATCAGCTTGTAAGTCTGTCATAGTGTCGTAATATTCAATTTTTGTATAAAATTAATACTAAATAAATATTAAACACTTTATGGGCTATTTAGCTAAGAAATTTATCTGTTAATTTAATTTAATTTAAATAACGATAATACTAAACAAAGTTATATTACGTCATGTCTATCAATTTTTATATACTCTGTGATGCATATTCATAATTAATTATTTGAATAACCAAATTACCTATATTATCGACTGAAACGTATCAGCTTTTAATGATTCGTTAGTGGATTTTTGTTTTTGAAATTATTGTCACCATCCCCATCTGTGTTAAAATCATAAAAGATAGATTGATGCTTTTTGAGATGGCACTGGCAACAATGATTGATCAAGAAAACATGACGTTCAATCCTGCAAATTTGCATTCTTCAAAGATACCATTTCCAAAATTATCATCTATTGAAAGTGAATATTTTGTATATCATCAGGCTGATCTGTTCTCTCAGAGTTTCTCAGCTATTGAGGGCATTCGCTGTATGGGAAAACTATGTGATGTTACACTGAAGGTAAGTAAATTTATAGTAAATAGTTATTGTTCTATATCTGTAAACTTGGTAACTAATTTTTTTTAATTAGGTAGAAAATATGTCCTTTAGTGCCCATCGTTTAGTGTTAGCTGCTACAGTACCGTATTTTAATGCTATGTTTACGCACAACATGATTGAAAGTACTCAGAAAGATATTGTGATGCATGGAATTGATCCTGAGTAAGATTTGTTTATTAACTAAGGAAATTATCAATTATTATAAAAAAAAGCTACCTATATATAATGTTTAATTTTTTTTTTTTAATTAAAGAGCATTGGAAGCATTGATAAACTTTGCATACAGTGGTCGAATATCAATAAATGTTAATAATGTTCAGTCACTATTAATTGGAGCCTCATTTTTGCAGTTGAAATTTGTGCGAAATGCATGTACAACATTCATTAAAGAAAGGTAATTAATTGGTTTTTGTTGGATTTATTTTCATATATTGTAAAGTATTTAACATAATAAGAAAGTACCTACACTAGTTAGTAGCTACAGTAAACATATTAGCTTGTATCTATAAAATTGTATATCAAAATTTTCAAGGAAGAAAATAGAATGTTTGTTAAACGTATCTGTTCAATATTGATCGTTCAAGAAGTTACATGCGTAGTATACTAATGAAATATACTGATTTTTGTTTGTTTCTGCCTTTTTTATGAGTGTACATATTACATTTCCCTTGAAAATTTTATATTTTTTATAATATAAATTATTAATAAAATCATTTTTGTAATATGTGGTTAAATTATTAAAATAATACATTATTTTAATCACGAGCTTACCCAAGTTATTGAGGTAGAAAAAGTAATTTGAAAGTAAATAAACTCAACAAAATTATTTAATCCAAGTCAATAAAATGTTAGTTTAAAAGTTTTTGTGTCATCTGTAAGATTAAACTAATCACATAATTTTATATAATATTATTTTAATGTATTTGCATACCTAATATATAATTGTACACTCTAATAATATATTTAATACTAATATTATGTTAATAATTGTTAAATTTGTTCTCACATCATTTTTAAAAACTTAATTATAAATGTCAAATAACCATATAACATTATTGTATTATAGTGTGTAGAAAATACTATTTATGTTATACTTAAAATATTTATGAATATACATAAACCTGAAGTTTAAAATTAAAATAAATTCTGAACATATATTTTAGATTTGTGATTTTTTTTATCTAATGTCTAATAAAATATTACATTTTAGGTTTCATCTAAATAATATTTTAAAAGTACGTTCATTAGCTGATTCATTAGGATGCTTTGATCTATTGACTGATGCTAATAGATATATAGCTCAGAATTTTCGTGATATTTCATTGTCTGAAGATTTCTTGAATCTTAGTATTTTTGAAATAATAGATATAATCAATAAAGATGAATTACAAGCATCTGAAGAACAGGTAATTTGGTTTTATAATAATTAAGTAAAAACTCGATGGAATAAAAACCTACTCAATTTTTTTTAGGTATTTGAAGCAGCTATTCGCTGGGTAAAACAAGGAGAATTGAGACAAGAATGTTTTCCTCAGTTGCTCGCTGCTGTAAGATTGCCATTACTTTCACCTCATTACTTGGCTGATCGAGTTGCTACTGAAGAATTAATTAGATCATCTCACGAATGCAGGTTAAAAATTCTTGCAGTATTAAGTGTTCTTGGATCTATAAATACCAATTATTTTATTTTATTGGCAATGAATAATAATATTTAAAATACTCATTCATATTATAAAAAAACAGTGACTAAAAATGAATTATTGTAAGTGTATTAAAATACACTAAAAAAAAATAAATATATTTTCATTTTATTTTTTATCTTATTTTCTAGTTGGTTGTAACAGTATAATATTAAAATGAAAATAAGTTCATATAATAATATTATGAAATTCTTAAGTATTATTAGTAAATAAATTTAATCAATTAATTTATGAGTACATTTGAATAAGACAGTTACTATAAAAATTCCATATCTATTTAAACTTGCTTTATACTTATTACCAAATCTTATGATCTAAACAATTATTACCTAAAATGTATTAAATTGTAATAATATTGAATATTTCACATTTATTTCTTTATTGTTTAGAGATCTATTAGATGAAGCTAAAGACTATCATTTAATGCCTGAAAGACGAATTTTGTTACAAAGTTTTCGTACTAAACCTCGCTGTGTCAGTTATATTCGTGGGCACATATTTGCAGTTGGTGGTCTTACAAAATCAGGTATTTGTATATTTAAATAATTTTGATACAATTTCTCACCTGTATAATAAAATATGAACTATTTTAATCTTAGGTGATTCATTAAGTACTGTTGAAGTCTATAATCCCTTGACCGAACGATGGGAGCTTGCAGAAGCCATGAGTATATTACGTAGTAGAGTTGGAGTAGCTGTACTAAATAACAAATTATATGCGTTTGGAGGTTATAATGGAATTGAAAGACTTTCTTCAGTAGAAGTATTTGATCCTATGACAAAATCTTGGAGTATAGTTTCACCTATGCATCGTAGGCGCAGGTCAGTATTAATTATTAATACAAAAATAATTAAATAATTAATATAAGTATTAATAATATTAATAATATAAATATAAATAATATATTATTAATAATAATAATAATATATATCATATTTATATATTATTAATAATATTAATATTATTATTATTATAATTATAATTATTACAATTATTAATACAGGTCAGTTATTCTAATACATCACAGATTTTTTAATTTATTGAAACAAGCATTTGTTATAATTGTTCAGTTCTTAAGTATAAAAATATTGCTCAAAATTAAAATTATATTTTATTGTAGTGCCCTTGGAGCAGCTGCTCTTAATGATCGACTTTATGTGTGTGGAGGATTTGATGGAGTCACTTCATTAAATATTGTTGAATGTTATCAGCCTGATTTAGATCGCTGGACAATCATTACACCAATGCAAAAACATCGAAGTGCTGGTGGCGTGGTTGCATTTGATGGTTATATTTATATTCTTGGAGGTCACGATGGTCTAAGTATTTTTGATTCAGTAAGTTGATATTTAATATTTAATGCACTAAAAGCCAATTATAAATATTATGTATGTACTATAAAATTCAAAAATTTTAATTTTAAAAATGTTAAAATATGCATAATTATCCGCAAAATTTAAAAAAAAATAATTAAATAACTAAAATCTTGTATCAAAAATTTGATTTCTTCTTTTAGGTACAATTTGAAATTGATGTCATCTTTTATTTTTATTCTGAAAACTTCAACAAAAAAAAAAAAAAAAATAAAATAAAATAAAAAGATACTTAGCTTAAATTATGTATAATCAGATAAATATAAATTTTCCCAAAATATGCTTTAAAAAAATTCATCACTTATGCAAAACTTTGCAAAAATTCTTTAAAATGAATGGTACAAGTTTTTATCGAATTCTACAAAAATAATAATAACTATTTGATTCCATGAACATCATCTCTTTAAACATAATACAAAGTATTATAATTTATAATTATTGTTGTATTAATAATTAATATTATATTTTTACTTATAGGTTGAACGGTATGATACATATACAGGTCAATGGATGACTGTAACACCAATGTTAATAAAACGTTGTCGCTTAGGAGTGGCCACGTTGAATGGTAAACTTTATGCATGTGGTGGATATGATGGATCAACATTTTTACAAACTGTTGAAGAATATGATCCTCAGACTGACAAGTAGTGACTTATAAAGAAAAGTTTAATCATAGTATACTTTAATTGACTTGTTCTTTAGGTGGAGATTTGTGGCTTCTATGAATGTGACAAGAAGCCGTGTGGCATTAGTGGCTAATGCTGGAAAATTGTGGGCTATTGGTGGATATGATGGATTTTTGAATCTGCCCACTGTTGAAGTATATGACCCAAAAGTTGATTGTTGGACATTAGCGGCTTCTATGTGTGCCCATGAAGGTGGAGTTGGAGTCGGTGTCATACCCATTCAAGAGCCTGAAGTTCCATGAATATTTGTCTGTTGTGGTTAATACAATAATAACATTACCATCTATTATATCGCAATGTGAGCGGTAGGATAGATAGCATTTATAATATGTAAAAATGAAAACAATCTTATAAATTATATTATTTATGTTGACTGATCATTTTTATGACATTTTGGAAGACAATATCACTGTGCAACTATAATCGTTTATCAAAGACTCATTCCAAATAGGATGCCAGGTGATATGAAAAAACTTGTATTCATCTTAAAACATGTGTGTTAAAAAAAAGTTTGTGTTTCATAGCCTTTGAAAATATTCAAATTGTTTCACTGCTTGCTAGTAATTCAATATTGTTTCTTACTGGGTTTTACTTAGTCAAACCTTTTTCTGTATACAATATAAGTTTTTACTTTTTATCCTGTGATATATTTCTGTTTATTTCACTCCTATATTGTGTTACTTTTTGATGTACAATTTTTTGAATGATAAATGTAAATTAGACATATTGATGTCATAAAATATTATTTTACAATACCAAATTGAACATCATATTTATGTATACTGTAAATAAGTACACAATATTGTTGTTGAATTTATATAAATAATTTTAAGTTAAGTCTGAACAAATTTTACTAATCTAGAACTGTTAAACTTGTTATTGTATATTAGTATATTACTATAACTGTTGTTATTTTGTTTGAAAATGTATTACACAATGATAAATATTATAGGTATATCTAATACTTTTTTTAAACTTGTTCCACAATGCTGGTTTGTTTTTATTATTTATTTTAATATCTACTTCATATTATGTTATAAAAAAGCTTTTTCTTCATATTAGATCCAATTAAAATATGTAATTAAAGTTATAAACATGCTTGTACTTTATAATAGTAATTACTTAACGAAAAAATAAAATGTAATTATTATCATTTATCACATACTTGCACTGTGTATTATTATTTTTTTCAATAAATTCCTATCAATGGAGAAAATACTTGATAGTGTGGCACGGCAATGCCCCGGTGCCTTGAACTTGGATTGGACCTCGGATTTTGTAATTGCAATTTGTACATTCAAAAATTTGAATTTTGTTTTAAAATTCACGTCGTACTGTATGGAGGCAAAGTGCTAAGCATAATATTTCGTACAAGAGTATGGACCGGGCTGGACTTTTATGTTATTTATTGAAATAAATGTGTAATACGAGTGTAATCAGAGTTTTATTTAACTTTATTTTATCAACATGAGTGTGCTACTGTACTGTGAGACATAGTGCGTGTGGTGTAAAATTGCACGAATTAAATACATTTAATCGGAGACGAGCCGTTGCCGATTACTCTTTGATCGAATCGAAACCCCGTGGTTTGCGTGTCTAATATTCTCCGTTACACAAAACATGTAAAGGCGTTAGCCAATGACGAGAGACACTGAGTGTTTGGACATGTGGATAAGTCCTGGCTGTTGAATTGCAGGCCACCAGTTATTGACCTTTTCTAAGTCTCTGTTTTTTTGCCAGCGGTTGAAATATGTGCAAAATTTCACGCCAGTTAACCGTCCACGCGTGCCGCTTCAATTACCTCGTGTGATCAAGAGCGTGCTGATTGTTTGGTTGTCGTCGTCTCAACGAACGTGTCCTGAGAAGAGATGTCGCATCGGAGATAGTTGCATGACCTTTAAGTCATATCTACCCTATGAGTCGTCGCCCGCGATGCGCGACAACTACGGATTTCATTCAATACTTGTAAGATCGGTTGCGGCGCAACGCAGAGTCACAGAGACAGTCTTATCTCCCATTGTTGGGGTTCGTTATAAGCCAGGACCCTCTTTTGCACGCTGTTGTCTACCGCGGATATCTACGGTGTGTTAAGATATTGTGATTTTTAATGTGGTTATTCAATAATTTAGTGATTCATTTGAAGGTTATAAGGTAAAAGATATTGGTGAGACGTTTCAAATGAATACGTTCACGATGTATGAAAATGATAAAAATTTAATAATATACGCACTACGCAGGATAAAATGCGGTTACACTAGTGATAAAAAACAAAATTGAGTTTAGCAAAAAAGTAACTGTAGACACAAACACGCAATAATATATTATTTATACAAATGATTTGATTTGGGAGTTATAAAAAAGTAGAACATAATAAATTATTGTATTAGTGTTATGATATTACACAAAATATTATTAGAATAAACTTTTAATGGGTAAGTATAATTTTTTAATCGTTATTATCATCTATGATGTACCTACGTAATATCTTCTGTTGTTATTTGCTACATTTTATGTATCTATAACTAATTAAATGTTCTTACTATGAAACTGTTGTTGGTTTAATGTTTATCTAATAATTAATTGTTTGACTTAAGTTGAAAAAGTTGATTTTAATAAAGCTTTTTAATTAAAATGAAAGTTCATCGCAACTAATTTATATGTTACGTTAGTCATTATTGCTTTTTAGATTACCTATGAATCAATTTAGCAATTAATTTGGGAAAATCCGTGGGCGTCCGTTATCTAAATCAATATTAACACATAACAATTGACGAAATCAAAAGAATATATTATTATAATAGGAATACGCATCTTATTGCCAATCTTCTTGAATTTAATTTATTGGTTGATCGTACCTTTACTTTAAGATTAAAGGGGAAATGAAGTAGGTACCTAACCTAAACTGCAGGAGCGAATTGGCTCAGTTAGCTAGTCGGCGAACGCGAACTGGTCTGTAACCTGTATTACATAATAATTTAGACCAAAATTATTTTAAAAAATAAATGAAAACTAACAAAAATGCATCTTATAATATGATGAATTGTAAACATTGAATTATACACAATGCAAATACCGAAAATTAATGAATGTATAGAAATATGTAAATACACAATTCCCATTTTATTTTTATCAGTTTATGCTATGCGGCTATACCTAAGTCGCACCTAAAAAACAGACGATCGACGGAAAAAACGTAATTTTATTATGTCTATACCAAATTCATTATTTATTTTTATTTTTAATATAACTGTGAAATGTTGTTTAATTTAAATTAAAAATAAGGTAAGAGTTTTGAATGGTGTTTATTTTCCATCTGATAGTCAAAACGATAACATTTTTATAGACGAACGAGTAAGAATAATAACTAGGAAATATTTCGTTTTAATAACTTGTAGCCATTGTTAATAATTAAGACGAATAGTGTTGTGTTGTTTGAACAATGCCAGTAGTTGTTTTAATTGGTATACGGTATACCTATTATAAACGACACAATTATGGTTACGGGTTTAAATAATTTTGTCTCCTATAGGCTATAGTAAACAGTATTTTTAATAACGGAACGACATCGTTTTTCTTCAAATTAGCATGTATATACAATATACTTCTAAACATTAATTATATCGTATTATACAAAAGATAGAAATAAAATTAATTTTTCAAAATAATTGAGCTCATACAATATATTCTATACGTAAAGACATATATATATATTTTTTTAGCATAATTCTTTATTCAGCAATCTGTTACTGAAAAAAGAACAATAAGTTCAATTGATAATATACCTAAATTAAATAGTCGTGGGAACAAAGGAAGGAAGAGATCTCTCATTGGAGATACTTTATCGGAAAAATATTATACTTAATCAAAGATTTTTACGCATTGTTTTTATACGGTTTTCATTACTCCCAGTGTCAATCATGCGTGTGGGATGGGAGAGCTTAACAGTTCTACTACTTGATAACTAAAATTAAATCGTTATAGAGTTGGATAAATATAAAATAAATGTAAATTTTTTTCCTTTGCTTAATTTTTTAAGACTTTAATCACAATTATTTGATTTTGTTATATAATACCAATAAATTTTATTAACGGTATTTATCTTTAAATTGAATTTTTAATTTGTGATTAATAGTATAATATTATTTTTTATTATGTATTAAAAATCGAATGAAACACAATTATAATATTGAGTGTAATACAAATTGTAGATTTAAAAAAAATTAACGAGGAAACGCATTAATTAAATTTAACTGTAACAGATTAAAAAGAAATATCAGTATTATATAAATAAATAAATTCAATAATGTTTGGTATCAATTTAGATTAGTAATATGTTTAAAATTTAAAATGGACAAGCGTTGTGATATTAATGATAATAAATACTCAGTAACATTTAAACGTAGCTCTGAATGGGCGAAAAACAAAATAAACGGATAGAAAAAAATTAAACGCTATTGCTTAAGCCAAAAATCAACAGAGAGAAATAAAGTGTACTTATATTTTATTTTTATTGATATAATTATTTATTTAAGAATAATCGTCATGCTAACAAAACACTAATATGTTTTAAAAATAGTTTTAAATTGAATATTTTTGGTATGATGTTTTAATTCTTATTATAAATCATGTTTTTCTGACTGCCATATTCGAAGCCGTGGTGTAGTAAAATCACTAAAATTTGTATACTTTCTTTTAGTGTTATTAGAATTATGTAAGGGAATAAATATTCAATAAAAACAAAACAAAATATAGGTACTAGTATTTTGGAGAAAAAAAATTGATTTTATTATTTTTATTAATTTTCAGTAAAAGATATACCTAAATGAAATGCGATGAAGTAAAACCTTTTATCCTTAATTAATTTTAAAGTTCTTCAAAGAAATTTTAGATCCCTGCACGCTCTTTTCTTATTTTACTTCTATTTACTCCGCAAGTTATTTATCAAACGAACCAATGAGATGTCGTACCTATGATAAATACCAACGTTGACTGTCATTTTATAGTTAAATGTTTGTATACGTAATTCTATTCATTTTAGATGTTTTAATGTTTATCGATTCACTACAATATTTTTTTTATTGTCAGCTTTTAATTTTGATTGCGACTACATTTTATTTTTTTTGTAATTTACAAATGGAATTCAAGGGATGATTCTATGTAAATTATAAATAAAATTAAATATGTATATATGGTGATTCGCTAAGCATGAAAACGGATATGTATCTTCAATTAAGTAGTTATTCAAATTAATTAGATTTTTGAAACTGATAAATATAGGTTTTTGAAAACTATATTTTTTAGATTTATGAAATATTTTGTGTAACTAAACAAGTGTCTTGTGGCTTTAGTAATAAACTTCTTAAATAAGAACCTCGCCTCTTTTTACTGTAAATTATTTTGTGGATATATATTTTTAAATGTTTATGTACATACTTAGTTCAAAATTTGATTGAGTAGTTTCCCAGTAATTAAAATGCTTAAACTAAAGGGTAACAGCTAGGATATTATTAGGAGTAGTCCTTAAAAACGATTTTATAAATTATAAATGCTGGTAGGTTAATTCTAATTCTAATTAATAAAATGTTCAAATTACTATAAAGCATATTCCAAACCTGTGGCTATACAAACCCATTATACTTAGTATACACTACATAAAATTAAATGACTCAAAATACTATATTTGTTTGAATTTAATACATTAACATTTTCAGTAAAATTATCTATTA